TTGAGGGCTACATTCTAAAGAAAACAGCAAGCCATTAATCACGCGCAGGTTCAAGCGCTACAGATGTGTTGAATGTATTATTGCCGGAGTAATACAATAGAGGCAGAAATACTCGCATATGGGCAATGCAAGGATTCTAGCGGAAATGTTGTTTGTAATGTACAGTGTCGCAGGAATGCTTTTATGTGGAGACATCATAACATAGCGTTTTAGATACGAATAATTGGAGAACGTGACTAATTGAGGAATAATGATTTATGTGTAGTATTATTTAAAAAATATCGCTCCCCCCACGACTACGGGCCTGTGCAATGTACGCTTAGCATACAGCCCTATTATATGAACCATGCGTCTATACCTCCAGTATTATTTTGTGTACTGTATACATGTCTCCTGAATATTATTGTGCACGAGGTTCATATTTTACAATTTTTTTATTTGGAAACTATTATTGGCTGAAGATAACACATCTCAATGGGGAACCATAATATCAGGAAAATAATCGTGGGTATTCTATGACTATGACTGGAATACGTTTATATGGAAAAATTAGGCCAACGAGGGCTATTATCTGAAGAATAGAATGGGGCGGAGAATATAGACTTCCTTGGAAGACTAATATATAAGGAATACATTCTTCGCGACCATTATTAAGTATGTAAGAAGGAGACATTTCTCTAGAGTATCACTGCATAAACAGTAGGAGAATCCCGAGAGTCCCTATTATGGAGTCGTCAAGATTTAAAGCAAGAAGCACGCTAATTTAAAAAGAGATATTTAGTAAGAGATAATAGAGTGGATGTAGCCGTATTCTTGGAGGGGATCCAGTCACTGAGCGTTACACATATATAAAAAATACGAGATGCCTGCGGTATATTTGTATTAACTCTAAGAATCGGCCTTGCAGCAACTGTTTAGAGGATAAGCCTCTGTCAAGGCTAATATTCTATGTAGAACAGTTCTGTGTGAGGAGAAAAATTGTTTAAGCTAATACAGAGGTTTAGAGAGTCGAATTCCTTGAGGAGGAGGGCAGTTGTAAGAATCATACCATTTCCCCAATGCACTCGTTTGTAAAAGAATTCCATTCCAAGAATACGCATATACCAATCCTAAAGCAATTCATGCTGTATAGGAAACTGAGAGATACTATCACTAAGAGGGGTTTCAACATACCAAGGGTGCTTATATATAGGAGGAACTTTTTATGGGCGAAGTGACACTGTAAGTACAGTAATACAGCGTGAACTGTGAATCTTCCTTCTCAATATTATTGTAATATAGTTTCAATAATTATCCGGGTACTATTAGGAAACAATGATTACGGAGGATTTGCACACCTGCTTTAATCTGTAGTATTTTCCTCTTGACAAGACTCGAAATCGATTCGGTACTATTAAAATAGAAATATTATGTGAAATGAAAGATTAAACTTCTTATAATCTAGAGAGGAATAGGAAATTATAAAAGGAATAGTACTATATAGAACGAGCTGTTTCTCGTGGAGAGGTAGGAATAATAGTAACATCAAAGAAGGCGAAGAGGATAAAACAAGAATAGGAATAACAATACACATAAGATATTAAAGAATCCTTAAGCTAAAAGGGAGGAGAGCAACCATATAGGAGCGGATGACTATAATAGAATGTATATACGAATAAAACTGACATATTTGAGAAAATTATCTACTTCAAAGAACGGAGAGAGATATACGAAAGACCATATAAATACACCAAAAGCCAGTGGGGATATCAACATGACGATCAAAGTGGAAATGCCTAAAAGGAAAGGTAAATTATTAATACATACAAAACAGACACCCCGAGAAGAAACGATACAGGGAAAGATGCTCAGGGGATGAAGATTAGACACTACACCCAAAGCATAAAACCCAGAGACACAGTAGGGGTGACAAATAAGGAATAATGTGAGCAGCCGATCTTTCCCTCTGACGAAATAGATATATGAAATCGGGAATTTCATGTTTTCTAACATATAAACAAAGGAATAAGGACAGATAATATCTTGAATCTGTGCTGAGTCCATGGAATATAATAAGTCGTACAATAACTTCATTTTTGTCTGTATCTAAGACTATAGATGATGTTATAACGGGTGTCTCCTTATTCACAACAGGAGGATGTAGAATGTTAAGTGGGATTCATAAACCCTTTTATGCATAAGGGAGTATAAGTGTATACAATGCATACATTCCCCTATTGACATAAACACATGTCCTATAAAAGAGTCTTACACCACCCTAGAGTTATGAGATTCTTCTGAAAAATGAGAAGAAGTCAATAAATACATTATCATTTTAGCAGTGATATGGTTTTTATATGAGTTTTAAGTGTAATGCTATATGGGCATATAGACGATAACAGAAAAGTCCCCTCCCTTAATAATGAGTCAAATAGTTTTATGAATCTATTGTGTGTTATTCCACGTGATTAATTAACCAAAAGTTTCGAAAGTATTGGTGAGTTGTTGTGGGAATCATCTGAATAAACAGAGAACTCTTTATGTTTCCCTATTTTATCATAATAGATATTTACCAACCAAGTGGCAGAAGAATAACTGTTTAAATAGCTGGATACAGAATGTTGTGGCTTAAGGGGAATATTCTTTGATATATAGGCTAACATGCAGGATGGAGTAACAACTACTCTCATGAACCACCAGAGCATAACTAAGAACAGCGATAGAAGATACCCGGGAGCAAGGATCTAATGCTTAGAAAATTACTGATAGGACATAGTGAATATTATAAGACGGGCGAGGAATCCGAACGAGAGAACCAAGCCAAGGAGGAAGAAGGAGTAGAAATGAGCCCGCGTCGAATAGGACTTCATCAAAAGAGAAGCCCAGTGAATAAAGATCTGAGTGAAGTCGGAAAAAATTCTTTTAGGTCCTTCTCCCCCTCAACAGTATAAGGAGGCAAGGGACTTGCTAAAGGGTGGAAAGTCCAAAATACTGTCTAACAAGGATTACTCTAAGGCAAGCATAAGGGAGCCGTTAAAATTCCCCAAAGCCATCATCACTGCAGCAGAAGGTGAATAAGCCATCGTTAAATTTGGAGGAGGAGAAGAGGAAGAAGTGAGATTAGGCCAAAGGATCCGATTCAGAGCCAACCACAGGTCAAATGTGAGCGAAGGTGAGGCAGGACCTCAGAAAATCTTGAGCCTGGTGTCTTAGAGCAGTATACCAATAGGTATCTGGAAAAGCCCCAAGCGAATAACCTAGTGACTTCAGAACACCTAGGGGAGAACGACTGACTAGATGAGTATAGTAACCACCTCCTCTGTAGGGGGCGCTTGGAAATCACAACTCCCAAGGTACCATGTAGCCCTTTATCTCGATAGGGGGGTACCAAAAAGCATCAAATTAAAGATCTTCCAGAGGCCAGGACCCTCTGGGTCAACAAAAACAGGTAGGTTGAAAGGATCACACCTAGGCAGGCAAACCTGGGGCATGGAGGAGTAGGATTAGAGGATAAAGCTGACTGTGAATTATGAACAAAGTACAATTGGCAGAGGACCCAATACTAAACCGAGGGGGAGGCTTCATTGGGGAAGCTAGGAGAAGAGTTAGAAAAACCTCAGAGACTTTCCCACTTATTCCCGTTGGAAGTCACCCAGGAAGTAACAGAAATCCCTAACATAACTCACGAGAAGGATCTAGACATGGAGACCAAAGCAGGTAGAAAAGAGAACAGGGAGAGAAGTTAAGATGAGCAAGGGGAACCCCAAATTGGAGGGAGGCAGAGGGAGTTAGGCGTAGAGGGGCTATTGGGCAGGAAAAAGGTCAACTGAAAAGGAAGGACTGTTCCAAAAGGTGAGGAAGCAAGAAAAACCCCCATTACAAAAGACGAAACGTCTAAGATGCCTGTCCTGAGGAGGGCCCCACAAAATATCAAGGGTTCAGCTAAAATTGAAGACTAGGAATTTTCATCCTAAGACCGTAGGCCCCGAGAGCCAGTAAACAAGGGCCTTAGAATAGGAACATCCAAACGGTCAAACTTACTAGGGAAGTGCAACAAGTAACAGTTAGCAAGCATCTGACGAGCGATAAGTCTCAGGACAAAAAGGATAATCCCCCAAGGGAAAGAGGGGGGGGGACTAAGAAGCCTAAAGCTTGCCAAAGGGGAAAGGAGGCTAAGAACGAGTAAACCGTAAAAGTGAAGGCAAAAGAATCATTGACAAAGGCAAAGGACGAAATTAGGGCCCGAAGGGATCCTCATGAAGTTCAGTTCGTGAATTAGGGGCTTAAATGACCAACACACCTTAAGCAATGTCGTTAAGACTAGGATATTATCTGAAGGAGCTCTGGGAATTGGACTCCAGCAGCTGTCAGGACAGCACCTTAAACACGGAAGAATTTCTCCTCTGTCGAATAAAACGCCAGGGAAACACCCCAAACGTCCCAATAACAAGTAAGAGGGGACCAAAGACACAAGAAGGGAGCCTCATGAAGTCAGACGAAATAAGAGTGAGAGCAATTATGGTATGTAAAGCGCTGGAAGGGTGGTTCTCTAATCTACAAAGACAAGAGGATGGGCGGGGGGGTTGGACAGAAGATAAGTGCAGGATGACCGATCTGGGAGTGCCTAGTGGTACAAGAAATGAAGCAAATTGTCCGAGGCATTATGACAAAGAAGATTGGCAGACCTTTACTAAAGACACTCCCTTGTATCTCTGGCAAGAAAGGCATCGTAGCTTCCAGACTTGTGTGGATATAATGAGTATCTTCATTAATATATATAGTAGCTATACCTCTAAGAAGGTACAGGCAGCAAGAGAATCAGGGACAAGCATCTGTCAAGAAATGAATAAAGGTCTAGAAGCCTGGGGTGGGAAGGAAGTAGCTAAGAGGATAATGAGCGAATGGTTTCTGACCAGTCAGGAGGCAAAAAGGCCCGATTATATAAGAATGAATAATGGCCTGCCACTAAATCAGAACCTGAGTATAATACTGAATAAGATGCAACTACTAATATCGGGGGTGCAGTGTAGTAGGGATGATAAGGAGGGAGCCAGCTACAAGGATAACTGCGTCTTTACAGACCAACCCTCCTGTGAGATGATGGGGGGGGATGAGGAATCCATGCAAGGTGAACCGAGTTAGATAATGGCATAATCATTCTTCTCAGGTCTCCTAAAAAGAGTCCCCCCCACTGCAATCATGCAGGATAATGCATAATTAGACACCAGATTACTCTCTCTCTGAGCTTAATTTAATGTGAACAATGGATCTATTCTTATTTATAGGTGAAAAATTTCAGGAGATTTTAACAAAGATAAGGGAAAAGGAAGAGCAGGAGGGTACCCAAGATCAAATTGAAGCAAAAACAAAACAATTTTCAGAAAAAGACCAAAAGGATGCCGAAGCTTTGTCGAAGCGAATGACCCAAGGCGCAAGCTCCTCTACTGTTTATATAGCAATCCCTGGAACTCTGTTACCCTTCCTTGGGATTGGCGCCCTCATTTACCTGAAGAGAGGAAGGAAAAGAGGAAGTCTCCACAGTATCAGGGCAGGGGAGAATTACCACAGAACAACATTATCCCGCACTCCAGGGTCAAGAGGAATAATTACCTATACGGCCAGTGGTGTGGGAGCGTGAGGACCGGAGACCACATAAAGTTGGTCTCTAGGTAAAGTCTAGAAGTTTTAACTCATAAAATAGCCCTTTAACGATGGGCTTAGAGGATTTACGTGTGTCAAGATAAAAATTCCAAGTCAGGATACTAAGTTTTAGAATACAGAATTAAGAAAGAAAAACCAGGAATCAAACGCGAATCATATAGAAGGAAAGGATTCACCTATGATTTTACCTGTTTAAATTTACTCCTCCTATGTATACTCAGACCATTATGTTTGAACTTAACCAATAAACAATCGTAGAAGCCTCTCCTATGGAGTCAAATCCGTAGAATCGTCTAAGAACGTAAGTCTCAAAATCTTTATGCCTTAGAGACGGCATAAAACTAAACTCCTTAGTCCCCATGCCATTCCTGCCTAGATTATTTATACTCCTAAGAGTACCTTTGTGTTCGACGAAATCCTCCTAGAATGTATATTGTTTTAATATTTGTGTTTCTTCCAATTGTGTTAGTCTATTCCTCCATTCCTTCTTACTCCAACAGCAAGACTCTGTCGAATCACAATCTTGAAGTGTCCCAACTCAAATAGTAAATGAAAACAGTAGACACATATAATCCTGTTTAAGAATGAATTTTTGTCTAATATAATTTTCTGCATGAGTGATTATATCACATATGTCTCCTTCCATGTCATGTCTGTTAAAATATATTTTCATTATAAGGAGTCGTCCCAACAAAATGCCTCATAGATAACCAGGACCTATCGGATTTGAGACTCATATGAGTTGTTGTTTTATCGATTTGTTTTGCTTTTTCGCATCGGAAAAAAGTAAGGACCCCCCCAATAAGATGGTCAGTTACTCCTTAGTAGAGTCAAGAAAATACCACCCATTGCAGTGTTGTTTTATAACTAGGTTATAGGAGTAACACCTTATGAAGGGTGAAGTGGAACAATCGTTTCATCATTTATTAGATGTGTTCTATATTGTTATCTATTATTATTAGTATGGTTGTGATGATGTATTATCCATGAACAATTGTTTGTGTCCAAGTTGAAATAATCGATAAGTCATTAGGCCCTTCGTGTATAAGTATTATGATAAATTCATGTACCCCCCAACCATTAAGGTACAAGACAAGTGAAATGAGTAATATCAACAACTATTATCCTAGAGAGAAGGAAAAGGCTGTTATACGACTCTGATGTTATTCTAAGAATGCGCAAATCGCGGATTCTTTAGCACTAAAGAATCAGATAGGCAGGGGTATTTCCCATTCGAATTTTACTGATAGGATGTTCAAGAATGGGGATATATGGGGGAAAAGATAAAATAGTGGATATTTCATCTGAATAGAATTATTCAAGAATTTTCTAAGTAAGGAATAAATTGACTCCGCCCTAAGGAGCGACTGGTTCCTCATCTGAATTTTTTTATGGGGATTTAAAAGACGGAAGATATTTCGGGCAGATAAGAACGAAAGATGATTTTTCTGTTTAATATTGTTCAAAGAATCCTGATCACAACAAATAGTTAACCGAAGGAGAAAAGCCAAAATGTTTGACCGGATTAATATTGTTTCAGACATTAACGTGGATGAGCGTAATCAATTACGAAGACGGGGAAAGGATATTCCCCCCCTTTAATTTTATTACATCCATTGTGATAGCAGAAGTAATTACACCCAAGAAGAAGAGCGAATTTTCGACGCGGGTAATTTTATTACATATATTGATATAGCAGGAATAATTGCCCAAAAAAAAAAAAGGCGAGTTTTCCCCGCGGGTAATTTTATTACATATATTGCAGTAGCAGAAATAATACCCGAAAAGGAAAAAGGGGACTACTCCACGCGGGTAATTTTATTACATATATTACATTAGCCGGAAGGATTAAGATGGCCAAAAAGAATCAGTGTTTCCTCCGCTTAAGATTGTTGAAAAATATCAGGGAGCAAGAAGTCGTTAAAAAAGGATTGAAAGTGAGAATTTTTCCTACGTTTAATTTTATTCCAACCACTCCCATAGCGGGCAATTAATTGGAAGGAAAAACGAAAGGAAAAATGATCCGCGCGGAAGAATTCATTCGATAAACTTCTTTGGGAAAGAAATTACTCCAGGAAGAAAGCAGAATGATGTTTGACTCCATGAATTGTATTACCCGCATCGACATGACAACAAAAAATTAACCAAATAACACGAAGCAATTTACAATACGTTTAATTTAATTCCGAAAACTTCAGGGTGCCAAAATGATGAGCAAAAGTTGGAGAAAGTTTTGTGCAAATTTAATTGCTTATGGGTCATGACAGCTCCAAAGAAAAATGCAATGGAGGAGGCAAAGGCGCCTGATCAAACAGTCTAATCTTATTGCAACTATTCCCCAAGCAACAAAATTAAACCAAAGTGACCAGACAAATATTCCGTTCATGTAAATTAATTCCGTGACTTCGGGTGCCAAAGAAATAGTAAACCGGAGAAGAAGTCACATGTTCAACTCCTTTAAAACCCTTCAGAATAATTATCGGTGGATGTAATATTTTGCAGACCAAAAAAGGAAGGGTAGTTTCACACGTGTAATGTCATTCCAGGAATGTGTGTACAGCGAAATAATTGACAAAATGGAAAAAGGACAAATATTCAACCCCTTTACTGTCATTCGAAATAATTACCGGTGGAAGTAATATTTTGCACACAGAAACAGGGAAGATAGTTTGACACATGTAATGTCATTCCAAAAATGTGTGTGCAAGGAAATAATTGATGGAATGCAAAAAAAGTGAATGTTCCACCCCATTACTGTCATTCAGAATAATTACCAGACGGAGATGGATTTTTCCCGAAAGAAGAAGGGAAATTATTTCACCCGTGTAATGTCATTCCAAAGATTTGTGTACAGGGGAATAATTGAACAAATGGAAAAGCAACGAATATTCCACCCCTTTACTGTCATTCGGAATAATTACCAAAGAGGGCAACATTTTGCACCGAACAAAA